CTGGCTTGGTTTTTCACTCTCCTCAAGTATGCAAAAATCCTCATCTCCCTTTAGGGGGAGAGGGAAAGGGAGGGTATTATTCAGAGAGTCTGGCTCCATTAGGCTTATTTCAAAATGTTCTGAAGATACCCTGTGAAAGAGTCCATCACCCAAAGCAATCTGCTTCACCTCTCCTGGGCAGAGAATGCCACTTCTGTAACGGGTGACTCTCCTGTCTCTTTTTTCCTTTGCTTTCATTCTAAACTGTGATTTTGGTTGGTAGCGACACCTGGCCGTCTGGTTGATCATCTGGAGAACACAAAGGGCTTCAACTTACGAGCTCTGAAGTTCCTGGTGATGGATGAGGCCGACCGGATCCTTAACATGGACTTTGAGACAGAGGTAGGAGTCTGCTAAAGGAGGAGTTTGGGATGGCAGATGGGTCTCTTTGAACTCCCTTCACACAGACACATAGCAAACACTGAGCTGTTCTGTACAAATTAATACAGATTTTAATTGAGGTGGAATAACTGCAGAAAAGTCTATGGTGAGAGTAGAACTTAACAAGAGTTCTGCATAGCACTAGCAAGACACCAGGAGGCATTTTGTCTCTGAAATAGGTTTTTCTGGAGCACCTGACATTGACACGGGTACTGTAACAGCAATCACACACACATTGCTGCAGGAACATTGCCTGGTGCTGGTACTGCTCTTGGGCTTCTGGAGTTCACACTGCCTAATTGTCAGCAAGCTATCAGCCTTCCCTTTAGAAATGAGGAATTTTCTTCCTACTTGCGAGTCTAAGCTGCACATATACATTAATCTTCATTTGGATGTGTGTCTGTTTGGATGGCTCGGCCTTTGGAGGAGCCTTATGTCTTGCTTGCTGTTTCCATTTCTATTCTAGAGATGGAAACATTTCTGTTTCCTTTCTATTTTTTCAGGTGGATAAGATTTTAAAAGTGATTCCTCGAGACAGGAAGACATTCCTGTTTTCTGCTACCATGACCAAGAAGGTGAGAGCAGAGTACTCTGCTTTAGTTTCCTGTCAGGCTGCACTGTTAACTAGTCTGTCTGGTGCATATTTCTGATGAGATCTCTGTCCATCTAGTACTAACTTACATTGATCTTCCCAGGTCCAAAAACTCCAGCGTGCTGCTCTGAAGAATCCTGTTAAATGTGCTGTTTCTTCCAAGTATCAGACAGTTGAAAAGCTACAGCAGTACTACATTTTCATCCCCTCCAAATTTAAGGTAATGTCACATCTGTTTCTTCCTTCTTCTGGCTGTGTCTTGTCTTGCTGTTCCCACATCCACCCAATACCTTGTTACTGTCTCTGGCTTGTACTTTCTTTTTATTGTGGCCTATTGATTATCTCATTTTTCTTCTTTTTTTCTTTACAGGACAGCTACCTGGTTTATATCTTGAGTGAACTAGCTGGAAACTCCTTCATGATATTCTGTAGCACGTGTAACAACACTCAGAGGACTGCTCTGCTGCTCCGCAACCTGGGCTTCACGGCCATCCCTCTGCACGGGCAGATGAGTCAGGTATGGGCACCCCCAAAATGGGCTGCACAGGAGACCCACTGCTGGGGGCATGGGCTGCACCATGCTGGGTCACAGCTGCCTTGCAGGAGGGGTGTTTCACAGCTGGTTGACTGGACTGATCCCTAGAAACTTCACTAATGTGAATGCTGCCATTGATTATGTAATAGTTCAAAAAAAGAAAGTAGAAAAGTGAGATTTTTTTTTTGAGCAGTTTGTCTCAGAGTTCTTCTCTACTGGTATTTCAGCAAGAGGATATTGACCAGAATGAGCATTATTCTCTCATTCCCTTTGTGTCCTCTCTCCCAGAACAAACGTTTGGGTGCCCTGAACAAGTTCAAGGCCAAGGCCCGTTCCATTCTGCTGGCAACTGATGTGGCAAGCAGAGGTCTGGACATCCCACACGTAGATGTGGTGATCAACTTTGATATTCCTACACACTCTAAGGTAAGCCAGTTTGTGTGCCAGGGGGCAGCTTCTGGTCAGCAGGAGGCATGGTGAGGCTGCACAAAGGAACAGAGATACCTGTTCTCTGATCAAAATTCTCCCGTTGTGCTCAATGAGGATTTGATCAGGAAAGATGTCTGTGTTTCACCTTCATGTACAGGAGACTGAAAAATGAGTTCCTAACTCTCTACCTTACAGAAAGTATGGTCTTATCCTAGGGGTTGACTGTTTCCCAGTCTAGTTTCAGAAGGCTTAGGATTGCATTTCAGGAATTGCTGTTGTTCCTTATAATGATCAGAGATACTGCACGTTGCAAACAGAAGTATGATGGTTCTTTTGAAGACGCTGCTTTTGACATCAAAAGGGAAAAAGTTAAAAAAAACAAACAAATAATGGTGGCAACAGCAGCTTGGGTGTTATGGTTTTTATGCTGCTCCCTCTTGTCTACCCATGTTGTAGAACACATCCTTTCTCGTGGTGCTTCCCTTCTTCACAGGTCCTGCATGGAGAAGGGGCTATTTTAATTTCCATAATGCAGTGTAAAACCTGCTAAATAGCCTGGAACCATCTAAGCAGAAGATGCTCAATAGATCAGATACTTGCAAAATGTTCTTTTCATCTTCCCTGTGCTTGCCAAATTTAAATCTACTTGCCAGGAAGTTAGTCTGGCAGACAGACTGTGCCTGGATCCCAAAACTGCAAGTGCAGGCATGGGCTTACTTTAAGTACTAGCTTACCAAAGAAGTGATAGTTCATTATCAAAGTTGTGTCACAACTTTTGTCCTGCAGTCTTGAGTCATTGGAGGTGAACTTCTCCTTTAGAAAGGGAAGGATTCAAGTGTTCAAACCAAAGATAGGTGTCCATAAGCCAGCATCTTCTCAACACCTAATGCTGCATATGCTCCCGAGTGTTTAATCCTGCCTGTGTTTTCTCCACGTTGTCTTGTTTCTTCCTAAAGAAAAATTACATGCTCTGATTTCCTGTGACTTCTGTTCTGTGTCTGGTGCATGTATTTTGTTACTTATCAAGAAAATTGTTTTCAGGATTACATTCATCGTGTTGGGAGAACAGCTCGAGCTGGGAGATCTGGCAAATCTATCACTTTTGTCACTCAGTAAGTGTTAAAGTGTGGCAGACTGGCTCTTCCCAGCTGGGCTTCAGAGCAGGAAGCATCCAGCCTCGTCTGAGTGAGAAGAAAACAGTTCTTTTCATTCTGAGGTGCCAGTTGGATTTAGTTAAAGGGGAGAGAATTCAAAGTCCAGAGTGGGAAGGGAGAGAGGTCTTGGTAAATTGTAGAAGACAGTGTGTGATGAGCAGAACTAATTGTTTATAACTTGATTGTATAGTACACATATATTTTTATAGTATATAATGCAGGTTAAAGAAGTGTCGAGTTCTGGTAAATGCTAAAGCACTTGTCTCAAAAGAAGTATTTGCCAAATTCTTAGGAACAAGTGAGCTGAGCACGTAAGTGAAGCAACCCCAAATGATGGTATTGTTTGGGTGCAGTTATGAGTTGCTTGTGAGACCATCAGCACAAGCTCACAGTAGCTGTGGGCAGGAGGTGAGGGGTGCAGGGCTGGAGCTGGCTGGGTGGTGACAGCTGAGGCAGGGTCGGGGAGCTGGCTGGAGCTGGTGTCACCTCCTCCCAGGTACGACGTGGAGCTGTTCCAGCGCATCGAGCACCTGATTGGCAAGAAGCTGCCGGCGTTCCCCCTGCAGGAGGAGGAGGTCATGATGCTGACAGAGCGTGTGGCTGAGGCTCAGAGGTTTGCTCGAATGGTGGGTGCTGGCTTTTTGTCCCTGTGCTTGCTGCTGTGTGCTGGATTTCCCCAGGCATCAGGACTCTTGGTTAACCTCTTGGTTGCGTTGCAGGAGATGCGGGAGCAGGGGGAGAAGAAGCGTTCCCGGAATGATGATGATGATGACACAGAAGAAGCTATTGGTGTGAGGAATAAGGTGGCAGGTGGGAAAAAGAAGAAAAGGAAAGCCTTCTAATTCAATATTTGGACAGACTTTATTTTCGTCTTTATGGCTACACATGCTCAGCAAAAAGTCTCCCAAGCTATCTCCAGTGGATTTGTTTTTTTTTTTTGGAGCTCCGTAGGAAATTAGACAGTCCACCTGGAAAACAACTTCCTCTCTTCTGCTTCACCAGCTACAGACTGAGCTTGGCCCATTGTGGCACCATGGGACCAGTCTTCCTTTCAGAGACTCCAGAGCACCATCTCTGGACCTGAAAGCAGCTGTGGTGTGGCCCTGCTCATTCACCAAGAGGTGCAGTGTGGCTGCAGCTTTCCCACTGCTGCAGCCTGTCTCACTATCCAGGTTCACCGAGTGCATTGGCTCACACAGGTCTGTCAGAAGAAAAAGAAGAAAGGAGTTAAGCAGCTGAGTTTCCACAGCACAGCTGTGATGCCCTTTCCTTGGTGAAGGGACATGTGACGTGAACAACTAAAAATATATTTAGCTTAATTTGAAAGCTACCTGGTTTTTCTTGTCTTATCACTGGCCTGTTCAGCTCATTTTGAATATTGGCTCTGCCAGCAGTTTTTTTTTTTTTCTTAGGTCAATCATAATTATTCAGATGTTATGTTGGTACCTTAGATGTGTCATCTGAAGAGTGGCTCAGCACAGAGAACTCTGGCAGCATTAGGCTGTTCCCTGCCTGGAATTCAATGCAAAATCTGTTACCAGTGGCAAGATCAAGGACAGGGTTGGGTTTTTTTTTTTGTGGCTGATTCTTGCAGTGCTTATAAACCAACACATGAGGGTGGTGTTTACACAGGGAAGCAGCTCACGAGCTGTGTGGCCAGGAACAGGTATCTGTTTTCTTCTTTATTTCTCTGTCTTGGGCAGAGTTCAGTGCCCTGTACTTGACATTCTGCAAGAATGGGGTAAATACACTTATCTTCCTATCAAACCAGATGTGTGCCAGTTCCCATGGGCAGTAAAAATTTTCACACTGGACATTGCTGGTGGGCAGAGAGGGGTAAGAAGCTCCCTTGTGCTTCATGTCTGTTAGAACTGCTCATAAACTGGGCTTTCTGCTACATGAAAAACTGGTGGAAAGATTCCTTTATTACATCTAAATGGAAAGCAGAAACTCTCACAGTAGTCAGGATGAGTCCAACTTTACTTCATGGTGTCAGTATAAATCCCAGAGACACACATGGTGGTCAGAATGCTTCTGTACTTTTGGAGCAGCACGTTTTGCAGAATTATAGAAAACACAGCCTGGTTAAAAGTAAGTGGTTTTTCTGTATTGAAATTGGCTTTCTTTTCTTCATGAGGGACAAACATTAGTGTGAGAGGAGTGATACAAAAAAAACCCTAAGCGAAAACACTGGCAATTTACTCAAATCTCCCAAATACTCACCTTTAAGTTTGATAGCTCTAAAGCAGTGTAAGATCAGTGGCAGATAAGTGAGGGTACAGGCCTTGGGTATGTTGACTGCTAAGAGTGCTCTCAAAAAGCAGGAAGAGTCTTCTGTGGGCCCTAGTGCAGAGGGGCAGGGGTGGAAGCCCACCACGTTAGAGCATGTTAATTCTGTGGAGCCCTTTGGTAAGGAGCCTCAAAGGTGAGAGGAAACAGCCCTAGAATGCACCAGAGAAAGGAATAAAATGAGTGAGCGTGTGGGTGGAGATACAGATGGTCTTTCCCCATGAAGCAAGGGAACTCTCCCTATGATCTGTCCTGCTGGATGCTTGAACAAAATTTCTCCTTCACAAGCAGGACAGGGCTGGTCCTGCTATCAGCCAGTGAAGATTAGATCCCTCTGAGGTTCCTGAGTCTCTGGGAAAACTTTGTTATTCCCCACTATCTAACAGTTGGCATGCAGAGTCAGTCCTGAACCAGTCTTGCAGAGTCACATGAAGGGCAGTTTTGCTGCTGAAGGAGGCAGGGCAGGGTCATTCCTTCCAGAAGTAGTATGAGACTTTCTGTAACACGTTGGTGGAGTCTCTAGCATCTCTCTGTATTATTTTCTGTGTGCAAGGCTGTAGCAGCAGAATTGTCTTACCCCTTCCTTGGTGAGGTCAAAGATTCTCTGTCCTTCCACTGCAGCTGCAGGAATAACAGAAGTAAAGTGCTACTTGTGAAAGGGAGCAGAGCTCCGTGGGCAGAGTGACTCCTAGACAGCTGGCCACCTCCACTGAGTTGGAATGACAAGATGTAGAAACACTTGGCACCAGAAAAGCAAAGGTCTTGCCACACCCACATTCTCACTGGTGCCTCACCTGCCACAGGTATGTGCATTCAATTTCAACTAAAAATATTTCCACAGGTTGGAGGGGCAGGAAATAGTTTCTTATTTAGTTTTTTCAATAGTTTTCTTGTGTGAGTGTGCTGTGAGGGCTGGTCCCAGGGCGTTGGTATCACTGAGGCAGAATAGGGAGTGGCTGAGGATGTATTTGGTCAAAACAGAATCTGCAGCCAGGCTGAAGCAAAATCTGTAGCTGATCTCATGAAACCTGAGGGGAAAAGAATGGAGTGAGACTTGTCTCTCTGTGGATAAAAGTTCAGAAGAATACCAGCACTGGTATGTGTATGGCTGCATACTTCTGTACAATGGTGCTGGTGTGTGTGCAGTCAGGAGGACACCTGAGGGGCAGTTCCAAAGCACACCTCTATGCAGGGGAGGGTTAACCTTAGTGTGATGAAAGGGAGGAGGGGGTAACACAACCTGTCACTTTTTCTGGTGGAAGCTCTAAGTTTCAACAAAAGCTGTGTTCTCCAAAGGTGTTCAGTGGGGTCATTTGCAATTTGAAACAATTCTGCACCTCCCAAGTCCATAATGAGAAGGTGATTGTTTATATGCTTGTAATGTGTGTTTTAAACAGTGCTTTACAGTTTTGATCTTTAGTACTGCATAGGTGACTGCCCCAGGCAGTGAAGATGGACATACAGTTGTCTTTCATTTCAATGTTCTAGGGTTAGCAGCAGCAGGATAATCCTTTGGAGGAGGGAAGGAGTAAAATTTAAATATTGATGCCAGTGTGGATAACTGATTTCAAGGTAAGTGAGGATAGCCGCAAAAACTGTCAGTCCCTGCCACCACACAGTGGTCCAGAGCAGAGGCTGTGCTGAACTGGCCTGTCTTAAATGGATTTGGCTGTCCCAGTTGTTTCAGTGGTGTGCATCTGCTGCCCAGGGGCTGCCAGGGAAGACAGGGGAGAAGAAAGTGCAGCTGTGGCCCTGAGTGGGGCATCCAGGGCTTGCTTCTGTGGTGCCAGCCTGACCCCAAGTCTGCCTCAGATAATCATGAGGAACACAGCCTGTCCAAGGACCTGGCAGCTCACCTTCCCCCTCCCCAAAAAGCAGACATGACCAAGAGGTCAGCTAGGTATGATAACTTCCTAGCAACATCCTCAACCTGTGCTGAGAAGAGGCTCACTTGGGAGGCAGCTCTCAGAGTAAGAAGTGGGTGGGAATCTGGAGGGCCTTAGTTTACAAAGCAGGACTCAAGTTAGTAAATGTTCCCAGTTTAGTGCAGCACAATAGCCAATATACTTAAAAGCCCTTAGGAATACTTAAGAAGGAGTGGAATTGGTTGCATGACCTGGGAAAGACACAGGCATATACCAAGCATTTTGATGTTGTATAAATCTGAAGCTGTGGTTTGCCTCCAGTGGCATGTGAGGAGCCTCTGTAAACATTCAGGTGAGCAGTTAGTTCTTGTAAATGTCACAGAGCAGATGGTGTAACAATCCAGCTTTGGTGCCAGAGGTAGTCCATGTAACTATTCTGAATTCTTACTGCTCCTGCTTATGCACTTGCCAGTAGATTTTTTTTTTGGGGGGAGGGGGAAACTGTGACTGTGTAAACACAGATAATCAGAATATGAGTTCTTGACAGAATCCCAAACTTTGGGATTAACTGCTGAGCATTTAAAAAAAAAAAGACAGTATCCAGATAACTTTTTTTTTTCCTGGTTAGACTATGAAAGCTGCTTCTGAATAACACTAAAAAGAGACAGCTAAGGATGCTTCATTCCTCTGACATCTGAGAAATGGGAATGTTCACCTGTGCTCTGGCTCAGGGATGAATACAGCTGTGCCTCTGCTGCTGGTCCTCCTCTGAGGACCCTTCAAATATGGAAAATTTAGGATGAAGACAGTAGCATTTCTGCTTCCCCAGGACACAGGTACCTGCCTTTCTGACCATGATAATCAGGTAGATGTCATGTTTTGTGGTAGGATGAGTTGGGCTGTGCCAAGGTCTTGCCTGATTGTGCAAGAGCAGAGAGTGGCACTGTGCAGTCTTCAGTTGCTGACATTGTAAGTCCTCAGGGAGGGGTGGATGCCCTTGGAATCTGTTCAGCAGTTTTTCAGGGGAAGCATTTAGAAGCCTGAAGCTGTGTTTATTAGAGATTAACATGGGGTAATTTTGTGTGCCCAAAGGGAAGAGGACTATTTTTGTCTGCCTTCTCTGCTGGAGGTTCCTCACTGATTGCAGAGGTGTACATGCTACTCTGATGCCTCTCTGTAGGGATAGGTTTGTCAAAAGTCTGGCTTCCCTAGGGTTTGGTTCTTGCTGAAGGTTCCTGAGGAAAGGGGGATGCAATGAGGGATTTCTGTCCAAAAAGAGGACAATGTTGTCTTCCACTGAAATCCTGGCAAAGGCAGAAAAAGAACCCTGTTGACAGGCCTCTCACAAACTATTCCTTCCATCCATGACTTCCTCCTCCCTGTTTGATATTGTCAAGGAATACAGGGGTTTTGGCACATATTTCCCACTAGGACTGATTTAATTCCCCCTCAAACCTCAAGATTTTCACCCACAAACACATCTCTGTAAAGAAAGGCAAACAGCAAAACTTGTTCTGCAAGTCATCTGTGTGAGGTGAGGGAGGGCTGCATGCTAAGGCTGAATTGCTTTGGTCATGCTGGCTTTCCAGAAGATAATTACTCCTTTGTGTGGTTTTTGTTGGTATATATGCTCCATCCCCTGAACAGGGCTAAAATGTGAAATTTCTTGGCTTTCACAGAGGAAAAAT